TTTTTTTTTTTTTTTGGGGTTTTTTTTTTTTTTTTTTTTTTTTTTTTTTAAGGGGAAGGATAAAAGATCAGAAAGGGGATATGTTGAGAGATAAAAGTGATGCAGATTCTGGATCAGTTTGATCTGCTGTTCAATTAATAATGATGCTGGGAAGTAGAGATACTTTCAAATCATTAGCGAAGTGGATTTCTATGATTTGATACAAATTCTGATTGGAAAATTAGACATGCCCATTTGTCATTACTTTGACCACAACAACACAAACTGTAATTGGAAGATTAATGAAATAAGTTCAACCTGTGAATAACTCTGAAATTTGGTTTCAGCCAATATTTATTGTCCATATTGAAATGCAACATACAAGCTTATGATCATGGGACTACAGCTTTGCATGGATGGGTCTTTAGTCTTGCAATTTAAAAAAAGAAAGAGGTTTTTGTTTTTTTTTTTTTGCCCCTTAATATGTTATGCTGAATCCATGTTTCTAATTGTGGTCCAACCATAAGTTGTTTTGTGAACATAATAAAAAAAAAAATAACTTTCCTTTGTATAATATTGAGAATGAGTGGATATTCTCCTATGTAAAACAATTTATCATACTTGACTTTCTGTACACTGTGGTATGGTTTATTTTTTTCAGTTCAAGCAGTTTTTGAAGTTTCTTTATTTTCTTTTTCCAAAACTCCTATGATTTATAGTAGAAGAAACATAATATATCGAACAAGTTTTTTTGTCTACAGCTCTGCATTTGCATATATGTGGGAACAAATGGAGAGACCTTCTTCAACACGGCAACTTTGATCTCTTGTGTGCAGAACTTCCCCAAAAGCCGCGGTCCTATTGTGGGGATACTAAAAGGATTTGCCGGGCTGAGTGGTGCAATTTTGACTCAGGTTTATGCCATGATCAATGCCCCAAATGAAGCATCCTTAATTTTCATGATTGCAGTTGGTCCGTCGATGGTTGTCATTGCTCTGATGTTCATCGTTCGACCCGTGGGAGGTCACAAACAAGTCAGGCCATCCGATGGCTCCAGCTTCTTATTCACTTATTGTGTTTGTCTCATTTTGGCAGCTTATATGCTGGGAGTCTTAATACTTGAGGATTTGTTCAACTTAAGTCAAACTTTAATCACAATACTCTCCGTAATTCTAATCATTCTTGTACTGCTTCCAGTTATAGTCCCTATAACACTAGCTTTCTTCTTGGAACCGAAATCTTCGGCAGAGGAGAGACTACTAGCTGAGGCACAAAAACAAGAAACCGGTGTGTCTAGACAGGAATCGAGTGAGGCCATTTTCAGTGAAATCGAAGACGAGAAGACTCCTGAAGTGGATACACTTCCAGCTTCAGAGAGGCAAAAGAGGCTTGCTCACTTGCAGGCCAAACTGGTCCAAGCAGCAGCAGATGGAGCAGTGAGGGTCAAACCGCGGAAAGGCCCTCGTAGAGGAGAGAACTTCACCTTGACACAGGCATTAATAAAGGCAGATTTTTTGCTTATCTTTATATCCCTAATACTGGCTTCTGGATCTGGTGTGACAGTTATTGATAACCTTGGTCAGATTACTCAATCACTTGGGTACAAAAATTCAAGTATTTTTGTTTCCATGATCGCCATTTGGAACTTTCTTGGCCGTGTTGGTGGGGGCTACTTCTCCGAGATCATAATAAAGTTAGTTCTGATCCTTTTCTGCAGCTAATATCGGATTCGACTCGCAAGTCTCCTTTTCCGTGTCTCCCTAATAATATCATGTCATGTCAGTTAAATATTTTTTATTGACATGACCTTTTAGTTGACGTGATAAATATTATTGGAGAGAAATGAAAGAGGACAAAATTGAGGGGGACTGGGGAGTTGAATCCAATAGATTAATGTCACTCTCTTTTTTCTGGTTCTAATTGAAATGTTTTGTTGTTTTACCAGAGATTTTGCCTACCCAAGACCAGTGGGTCTTGCTATAGTCCAGGTCATCATGGCAATTGGGCTTCTCTACTATGCTTTGGGATGGCCAGGGCAAATTTATGTTGTCACTGTATTGATAGGACTTGGCTATGGCGCCCACTGGGCAATTGTGCCTGCTACGGCTTCAGAGCTTTTTGGCTTGAAGAGTTTCGGTTCCTTGTACAACTTCCTCACACTGGCAAGTCCTACTGGTTCTCTAATATTCTCAGAAGTCATTGCTAGTAACATATATGATCGTTACGCAGAGCAACAAGCTGCAGACCGGCGACAATATCCGACATCAGCGCTCACCAAGCCTCTTCTGGATGATGACTCGCTCACTTGTGTGGGTTCCATTTGCTATTCCCTCACTTGTGGAATCCTATCAGGGCTATGCATTATTGCAGCAGTTCTTAGTTTGATTGTCGTTCATCGGACAAAGAGGGTTTATGCCCAGCTGTATGGAAACTCTCACAGTTGAATTGCAAAAGTTTCGGAAAATGGAGATTACTTGCTGTACAAGCAAATAGATATAGGAGAATCCTTTTTATCCTTGTGACACAGATGAAAATCTGCTGAGGGTTGAAGAGGTGGACCAAATATTTTGCGGCATTGGTTAGCCAAGATAAACCGTTTGTTTCTACTTGTTACTCCTTTTTTCATTTGGCATTTTTGCGTTCCCAAAATTGGTTATTTATGTGAACTAGACTTTCTTTCACATATGCAGGTTGTTTCATTCAATTAGAGATCATGTCATAAACTTGTAAGTTTGTTTTATTTTTGCTTCATGGATAAGGCTTTTCCATTGTAATTCCATGAAAAAGGAAATTACTCCGACACTTTTATTATTTTGTTTTCGGTTTACTGAAATGTGAAGAAAAACACAGAAATTTGAAACACAGGAGACTTGTCTTCCTGTGTTTCAAAAGTAGTTTCTTTACAATTTGTAGGAACATCATGGTTTTAAATTTATTATTATTGTTATATTATTTTACCCGAAGTTGTGCTTAAAAATATTCTCCACTAGGATATTATTGTTACCAATAAAGTACATTAGATTCTGGAAAGAAAAATCCATGGCACTGCTAGAAAAGAAAGCTTTTGACTGATTGATCATCCAAGGCCTCTTTATGATGAAACTTGGTGCAAGACAAAACTTCATTAAAATGCAAAAAAAACAAAAAACAAAAAAAAAAACAAACAAACGGAGAAGAGTCCAAACTATCAAGGTAGATCCTACTTTAGACATCGCTTCTGATACGAAAAATATTTGACATGATGATCAGGATTAAGGATGCATCTCTCAAGTTTAACCTTCTGATATTTGCCTTCTCTTACAATTAACAAAAGAAGAACAAGTGAAAAACTCAAGAATGGCCAATACAAAGCTCAAGAAAATGGAATGCTTTCGTTTTCTATATGATAATCTCATCTATCTTTGAATATACACCATTCTGGTTACTCTAACCACAGTATTTTCTTACTGTGGTTAGAATTAACCAGAATGAATTATTCAAAGATAATCTGAAATGGATTTTGATTCCTCACTTTATGAAAATAACATGATTCCAATTTCAAATAGATATATATATATATATATATA